TAATTTTACAAAATAGCTAAATCTCTTTTCTCCCCATCTTACATTCTCCATTTTGACTGTGAGAAGTGGCTAGGAGTGATTATAGTGTTTCTTATATCTTAGGATAATTTTAATTAAAGTTATTAAAGAGTTCTTGAATTAAATCCTTACATGGTTTAACTATTCTGCCACCATTTAATTTTAGCATTTAACTTGACATTACACAAAAACTTTCTTCCATTTTACGCAGTTTTTCTGTTCTTGAGGTCTTGTTGTGAGAATGAATAAGTAGGAGATTTTTAAGAAGTTCGTGGTAAAATAATTCTGTGATCATGAGCCTCAAAATATATTGCCGTTTCACCTTCTCAGGTTTTGCATCTTTTGAACAATTTAAATCAAGCTTGACAGATAGTCACTTCTTTCCTTTGGGTTTAAAGTTCTTTGAAAATTAGTGGAAGGATAGAGGAGAAGCATAAAATAAAACCGATAGTTGAGGCAAGGGCTGTACTGAGTTTTCTGTCATCTATTGTATATACAGATAGTAAGTTGCTGTCTCTTTCTTGTCAAGTCAGTAGTTGACGCATTTTTTATAATAATATTTTATGCAATTAGATTTCAAGTAGTTGTAGAAAGAATTAATTTTTACTACTTGATCTAATGACCTTAATGGTGAGGTAAAAGTGGAACAGTTTCAAGTTCATTATTTTGTGTAGAGACCCTGAGGATAATGACTGTATGTACGCAGGCAACTAAGTGAAAGCAAAATCTGTTTACAGCATTAGGCCATATTTAAGGATGCTGAAATTTCTGCCAAACAAGTAGCACAGTGAAATTTCATCTGCCAGTTATATTGCTCTTAATGTTCTTTAATGTAGCAGACAAGATAGTTTGGTTGTAATTAAGCTTTTCTAATACTGTTGTTCCCCAAGGTTGTGCATAAATCATTTTACTCAGTAATTTCCTGCATCTTCAGTGCATCCATTTTTCCTGTATAATTCTTGCATAAACAATCTCTGAGATACAGCAAAACATCATGCTGTAAATTACTTCTTGTGTATATTATGTAATTTTGAAGATATCCAATTGAATTTATTTTTCTCGAGCCTTTTGTTCGATTTCATGGTCTTTTTTTGCCATTTCTTACTTTTACCTGTGTATGTGTCCTGCTCTGCTAGCCAATGTGTTCTGTCCAAATGTAACTCACAAGGCAATTACTGGTGCTCCTGACAGATTTTTCTTTAAGTAAACCTAGCAACCTGGCTGAATGCGGTAGTACTGAAGGGCAAGAGGCAATGGGCACAAACTGAAATACAAGAAATTCTGTATGGGGAAAAAAACTCTGAAACATCTGAAAATTCTGAACATAAGAAAAGCCTTTTTTTTAACTATAAAAGTGATAGAGCACTGGAATGGGTTACCCAAAGGGGTTGTGAAGTCTTCAAGGTAAGCACAGTTTGTAGTTTCTTTCTACAAGCAAGATGTTCCTAGTCATTCTCTTCTGCCCACCTTTTCACCATGTGTTCTCCAAAATAATTTAAAAACACCCCCCCCAAATCTTAAAGCCTTAAACTTGACTGTACGTTATTTCACGACCCTTAAGGAGGACACCTTCCAAGTTGAATTCCAGATATATTTAATTTGTGACCTCTTCAGCCTTTTCTATGTAAAGCAGGACTAGGAAAAGACTTTCAAGACTTGTTGCACAAAGCGGAGTAGCATCTCTTAAGTAATGATTTTAGTCAGAAGGAAATATGTTTCCCAAACCATATCCTTAGAATTTAGGAGGAGAGAGAGGTAGCATAAAGAAACTACAGTTCTTAACTGCAAGAGGTGGCAGGTTATTTGATCTCTCCTCCCATGAGCCTAGCCTTATAATGTATTTTGCATCCAACTTTATGTTGAAATAAATGACCTAGTGGATATTTGAATTGTCTACTTTTGGTAAAAATAAACCTATTGGTATAACTTTTCACTAGCTTCTTTAATAAGCCATATGAAATTTCTTTAAAAAAAATATTTACCCACAAATAAAGCAACCTTATGGGACAGGAGGGAATCATTGAAGAAACTCCAAGGCCAAGTATACTGAGATAGAACAGAAGAAATTCGAGGTTTGTTCCCATCTGTGTTCTCGTATTTTTTTGACCTTTTTTTTTTTTTCCCAAAATATACTGTATGGGACTTCCATTCTTCCTCTTTCTTTCAATCTTATCTGAGTTAAAAAATTATACTCTCAATAGCAATAAGAATTAAAGAATTAAAATATTAGAACACTTTACGATCATAGAAGAGGAGAAGTAACTGTCATGTATTCCATTATCTTACAAATAAATATTTGCATGACTCTTTGTGAGGGCCGAACAGGTGGTTCATGTGATATTACATGCAGTGTGTGCCACCTGAAAATGAAGGGGTGATTATTTTTTTGCAAATAAAGAATCTAAAGGGCTATATATTTTTTGTGAATAAAAAACTACAGTATCCTGTGTGTGTTCCTTTCCATACAACTTAAAAAAAAAAAAAAAAGAAACCTCATGGTGCTACAGAATAGTTTGAACCACAAACACCTGCATTTGAGGTCAAATTATTTAAAAATTTGAGATTAATGTAATTACAGAGAGATAGGCTACCTCATTTCATACAGCAAAAGAAAAACTTTATTGTAAAAGTTACAAATCAGGTGTGCATCTGCTCTACCAGTGCTTATTATATTTTTCTTTACTCATAGATAGTAACTTCTGTAAATACAACATATTGTTGCTGCTTGATGAAGGGAGCAGAGCAGGCACCTGGGGCTTTGTTTGCAGCGCACATGAGCGTTCTGCTGGCCGAGCTGGGGGCGGCAGCTAAAGCTGCTTTTAGACGTTCCCTCCTTTTCAGGAACAGAATTGGCCGTTTTATTTGGAGACAGCTTTCCTTGTCGTTTTTACCTCTTGTTTTGACACCTTTTAATGGCACTATGATACAGGTTATTGTGTATCCTGATACCAATACCTTTCCCATTCTACTTTTAACGTCAGCTTGCCGTGAATCTGTGTAAGAAACAGCAACATGTCCTTTGCACTACCTTCTGTTGGTTTAGGAATGTGATCTGATTTATCATACATTTAAAATAATACTTTGTACTACCTCATGTTATTGTAGTTTGTCTTTATCTTAAAGAAAGTAACTCACTCCTGCTTAGGATTAAAAAAAAAAAAGATTGAATTGTTTAAATAGTAATAGTGCAATTTTGATCATAATTGAGTGAAATAAGCTGCGGATACCGTGTAGTAGGTATTTCTAGTGATGATTAAATTGCAGCAGAGAGCACGTTATAACTCAGCTACACCTTTTATGTCAGGTTCTGTTTTATAAATGAAAGTTATCTTTTTTTTTTTTCTTTTTTTCACCTTCTGAAATTCAGGGAGATACTTTTAAAGCAAGTATTGTTTAGAAAGTTACCTGAGATACCGTCTTTAAAACTGGCTTAAATGGCACTGTTCTTTAAACTCCGGTAGCTGATAGCGTGCATCAGAAGAAATAATTGCTTTCATTTTCAGGTTATGCTCTTGGACTAGTGTGCATGTACCACAGTAAAAAGAAATTTCCTTCCAAGTACTGATTCCTTTAGATACGTTTTCCATATATTTTTCATGATTCCTTTTTTTTTTTTTTAATCCTTATCTATTCCACAAAACATTGAATTAAAGATGGAACATTCTAAGAAACAATGTTCCCTCTGGTTCTTCATGTATTTGCTGGCATTAAATCTTTCAATATTTCCTCTGTTTGTGTGTGTGACTTCCTGAAAGAATTTCAATGAAATTCAGGGAAAGTTTAGCCACACTTGCAGTTAACTTGGCTTGTCTTAATGTTTATAAATGTGGATTGTGGTAAGCCAGAACCACCTGACTTGTAGGCAGGAGGCTCCTTTGTTATGTCCTGTATTTTAAGTTTAATTCAATGATTTTAAAGAGATTTTTCTCTTTATGTGGACCTTTACTTGAATTCAAAGGTTGTAGTAATAAACTTTTTACTGAGGTTTTATTTTTTTCCTGAGCTTTCATCCTTAATTGTTTTTTAATTATGCTTACGGGAACTTATCCAGCTTTACTCACAGTTTAATAAAAATGAGGTTAGAAAATGTCTTCCATCTTGCGTTCATCATCTCATTTTTGAAAGAATGGATATCTGAATGTGTAACTTGAATGTACTTATATCTGTTGATTAAAATTAGAATTTTGATCATTTACTTAAAAAAAAAAAAAATAATAATAATGTTTGCTCCCTTTCTCTGAAAGTGGTACTAAGATCTATCTTTGATATTATTAGTGTCCTTGGTGCAAGAGGGTACCTGTGTAAAGATGACTGTCATTTTTATATGGTATACTGTGGCCAATATTAAAGCTTTGTCACCTCTTCCTCTAACTTTCATGCAGTATATCTGTCTCTATTTTGAAAATTATAACTAGTGTTCCTTTTTTTAATGGTTGATTTTGAAGATTTTCCCAATGAGTATTTGAAATGAAGTTCTTAAACACTGAAGAATTGTTGCTCTCTGTTGCTATCCTTTGGAGTGATTCACGTGGAGTTTCTGTGTATGATGACCATTTCACTTTTCCTGAAAATAGTAGGTTACTTAGCCAATAATGTTTTATCTGCTAAATCCCTAAATGGCTGCAAATACTAGCAGTGTTTCCGTAGTACTTGGTGGTCTTGTTCTTGTTTCTCTGTTCTTTGGGAGAAGGTACTCTAACAAATCAAACTTGTTTTGCGATTACTCTAAAAAAGAATGAGATTCCAAAAGACACACACAAAACCCCCAAAACCTTTTATAAAAGATATTTTGAAACCTGAGTACTCATTAAATAACGCAGTAAAACATAACTCTTTTATCTCCATCATATCAAGAAGACTTTTCCCATCTCAATGCAGTTCATGCAATTCATAGAATGGGGTTTATGTACTGTTTATTTAGTTGTTTTATATGGGATATAACAATGCTTCTTATTTTCCATGTTTGTTTATTTGTTTATTAGGAAGAACAGAACCGAGGCAAGCCCAACTGGGAACACCTGAATGAAGATTTACATGTACTTATCACTGTGGAGGATGCTCAAAACAGAGCAGAAATAAAACTGAAGAGGGCTGTTGAAGAAGTTAAAAAGTTACTGATCCCTGCAGTAAGTATTTGTATGAAAGTCTTTGGTTTATGTTTCCAGGAGTTATTTCTGAAATATAATTAATAATGCAGCAGTAAGAGTAAGCCTGCATGGCAGCATCATGAAATTCAAGTTGTTACTATTTTCTAATACTGTGGTGATCATTAAAGTGTGTTATCCTTGGTAGTAGTATTTCTCAGAATAGAAGAATATTTTTAATAAATGTTGATTTTTTTTCTGCCTGTTTTAGGTGTAGATAAAGAGAGTTCTCATCCCCTTTAAAAGGCAGTGCTGATCCATTACAAACATGAGCTTTCTCACCTTCTTCAGTAAAAGGGTGCTTCCCTTTAAGGGTAGGGAAAAGCAACATGCTTTCATGTTTCTTTTTGAGGAGATCGTGATACTTTAAGGAAAGGAAGCATGTTTTCTTAGGTCCTCATACTAAACTCCTTCCAGAAAGAACAAATCCTCTCAGGAGAATGATATCAAAAAAGCATTGCTATCACTATGTTGGGGAAAAATAAACATTGTAAAAATATTTGTATTTGCAGTAGCAATAAGTTCATTTATAGGTAGGGGGATGTGTGTATGCATATAGGCAGGCATACATACATGCTTTTATATATAAAAGATTACTTGTTTGGTTCAGTTTTTGGAATATGCTTTGTCTTAAGAGTGTACTGATTATCTTCTCTTAAGAGCTGAAAAAATCCTGAGATGAAATCCGGTCTTGGCTAGAACTGGCAGGATGATGCCTTAAGTGGCATTATTAAAGACTTGCTGTCTGGCATGTATATTTGGGAGGATGAAAAGTTGATAAATTTTCTTCCTTGTTGCCTGCTAACGTAAGCTGACTTCTGCCTAGCCAGCCAATTTAGAAGCCTTTTGCAGAGACCAGAATTTTACCCCACGAGAGCTTGTCTCTTTGCTCTGCTCTGTATTCTCACTCAAAGCAAAATGACTCAGGGTGGCTTTATGCTGCATTCCATGCCATTAACTTGCATCTTGTGGTGATTTGTACCACTTTTGTGCCATTATAAAGGGATAAAAATAAATTTACATCTTTCTTAGTGGAGGAAGTATTTTCTATATTCTGAGGAAAAATTAAATTTTATCTCCTGAAATAAAGTAGCAGTTGGTATTAAAATGAGCTAGTGATTTTGGGTGCTTTCTTAGTGAATGCTAGTAGAGGCTGGCTGCAGTGAAACTTGTGGTGACATATGCTGATATAAACAAAATCATTCAGAACCGTGAGAGCCAAAGAAATGTGGCAATATACAGCACTTTTTAAGACGTTACCAGGGATGAGGAGAGAGGCTTAATTTTTGGATTAACGAAATGTGGTGGAACCAGATGTAATGTAGACCTTTTCACTTTGTCAGTCCCTGTGAAAGGAGAAGACTACAAGGGAGAGTAGATCTTCAAAATGTATCCGTGTAAAAGAGATCCTAAGCACATTAGTGTTGACTTATAATCAAAATTAGGAATCTTTTTCAAGAAGAAAAGGATATTTTTCCTATGAGCAAAGGTGAAACCCTTAGGCTCAGTTTCCTAGTCCCTGTGTAGCAAAGTAAATTAAAATTATATGCATCTACCCTGCAATACACAATTACTTGTTTTCAAGCTTCCCTTGGTTCTTTTGCAACCTCACTTTTGTTGCTGAATGTGACTGACAGGTTATTCTGGAGATGATCTGATAGATCATAAAACCCAATATGTCCAAAGTACTGATGTTTGTACACTGTGTAGGTTTGTGTTATGTCTGACTTCTGGAACTGGTGTCAGGGGTAAGGTGGTAAGATGGTTTGCACCTCTTTTAAAACAAAAACAAAAAAAAATACAGGAGTAGTTTGCTTCTGCAGCTCTGTAACCCAGAATGAGGTATTTTTCCCCTCTAGGGGGAAGAGAAATCAGGGTTAACTGTTGTTAAGAAATAGCATTTGTTGAAAAACACTTTTCTGTCAGTTCATTTCGTTAACATCTTTCTATATTTTGTGTAGGCATAATGGATTCACACTGGGTCTAGTATATATGCAACAGTTACAGGTTTATTGGCTCTTATTTCTGAAAATCATATTTCATAGGGATAGGCATATGTAGTTACATACTGATTAATTAATACATAGGTAAGCTTGTTTTTGTACTACCAGCAGTGTCTCTTTAATTAGCATCAAAAGCACCTGTTTGATCAAATTCTAGTTACAGGCAATTTAGAGGGTTGAAAAAATCTGCTTTAGCATGTAAAAGTGTGAATTCAAAATGTTTCATACAGGAAACTGAAAACCTTTAAGTAATCAGGGAAAGGTGGGGGCGGGGGAGAATCCTAGTAACCTTATGCTGGGAGAAATTGAGGATATTGGAAGATTTCCAAGATATTTTATCATGTGTAGATGGAAAGTTAGAAATTCTCTTTTACATGGTAGAATATTTGCAACTATTATATTACTGTTTTCCAAATACAAGTGAGAGGTTTAAAATTCGTAAAAGATATTATTTCCATCATTGTTGCTGTTCTTTCCATCCAAGCTGGAAAAAAAAAAGAAATTGGAATTGCCTATAAGATAAAATTCAGTCTGATTCTTGCCATATAGTGGTAATACACTTGTTTTCTTAGATACACTTCAGAAAAGGGAAGCTAGTGCTAGAGACAGAAATGAATTACTAATTTATTGGAACAGACAGTTATTTTTATGGTCAACATAGTAAAGGATCTAGCTACGTTTTATAACAGCAGTGCTCAAATAGGCATATTTCTAAAATGGATTTCCATGTGAAGACAGGTGGAGAGAGAGGTTATTTCAGTAGCATGATATTTTTCTTCTCATCTTCACTGATCAGGATCACTAGTGTGCAGTTTGGAGTTTTTCTTTTTCCTTGTGGATGTGAATTTATTAATTTTCCTTTCATTTGGTCTAGGATTTTTACCACGATAATGGTATGATTGCACAGTTTATCTTTAGAAAGAAAAAGGACAGCTTGAGATAGACTAGGGGAGCGAGCTGTTTTTCTCCTTAAGGAGAAAGGCTGAACTCCTGAATTTTTTAATTAACACTTCTTTGATATGAAACTTGTTATTTATTGCAGCTTTATTTCAAGTTGTATGAAACTAATTCTTTTCTCTTCCCATAGTTCGGTGAGATATTGGTCATTATCTGGACCTGCAAGATCATATGATACTGCTTCTTTCATGTTTTTCTCCGAAGAAAAACAGGAAGAAGAAAGCACTCTGCAGGCTTTCAGGATCACATTGAATTGCACCTTTCTCATGCTTCTTTCTAAAGTGAATCCTACATGGTATTGATCTAGCCTGTATTCGTTGTTAGAGTTTTAACATTTTATTTGTTATTCCCTAGAGTTCAGTAAAGACCGGCAGTTCTCTTTCCAGACAAAAATGGTTCTGGATTGTATGTACATTGCAGAATGTAATAAAAAGTGCGGAGCCTGTGTAAGGGGATTTAACATGATTAAATATAGCATCCTGAATTACACTGATATGTTATTATTAAAGATTTGGAATTATTCTGCAAGGTACTGGGCAGTAGGGCTGAGTTACTCTGCTGTAGAAATGTGAGAGTCTTCTACGTGTTCTAAGATGTGTTAAATGAGGTTTGCTAGCTGAATCGGTTTTCTAGCTATTCTAGGTTATAAGATATCCAGGTCTCTAGTTACTATTTCACCTTTATACTAACTGTCTTTCTATAGGTTGTGGGATATATGACATAAGTAAATTGCCCGCAAATGCTTTTTACCTCTTTTCCCTTTGACTCTACATTCCTTCTCTCTGAGGAAAGGATTGCGTTTGTGGCTGCTTCTTAACAACACTAATTTGGTCTGGAATCACAGTGTTTTTCAAATCGTTTGTAGGGGCAGCTGTAATTCTGTAGTTGCTGCTTCTGTCTGTTTTGAAGACAATGATAAAATAGTATTAGTAGGTGATGTTCCGTCTTAAATTGTATACATCGTTTCCTACTATGATAATGGTATATTATGATTGTAATGGGCAGGATAATGTTTCAGTAGAAGATTGTATAATTTTGTTGGACACTTGGTCCTTCCCCATAGAAGTGATACCAGACTTTTCAATCGTGGATATCTTTAAATTTAGCCATACGGTGTAGGGATTATCACTTAAAGGAAAAATTAATTGTGCTTAATTAAAATAAATAATGTGACAAAAGCACTGGCTATTTCTCATCATATAATATTATTGAAAATATATTTGTAGATAACTGTTACAATAACAAAATTTCACAGAGTTGTACTAATCTGTTAATTTCATAATCTCAAACACCTAGGGTAGAGGAATGTCAATAGCAAGGATTCATATGTTGAGAAGTCATTCAAACAAAACCACAAAACCCTGTGATACACAGGAGATGGTGAGAAGATTATTGCTTTCAGAACATTAATTATGACTTCAAAAGTAAATGGGAATCAACAAACAACTGATGTTGTCAGTTTTGTGTATCTTACAGCAGTTTTAAGCATCAGACAGCAATTGCCATCAGGCTTTGATAGTATTCCCAAGCGTTTCATCCTGCTTAGTAATAGATACAGCAGTGTTTTAGTTGAGGAATTTAACAGTGGAGTAAGGAAAGGATGTAAAATTAAGTAGTTACTAGAACACAGCTCCCACACAAAAGATCTATAAAAAATTCATGTACAGCTCCAAATTCTTAAAAACTAATAAACTATTTAACAGTAGAGGGAAAATTTGATAATTCTTCCCATATGGAAAAGCTGAAATTGCAAATGACTTCAACTTTGCCAATCATAGGGTCAAATTTCAAGAAGAAAAAACCTTAGAAAGCTACAAAGCTTCAAATATAAAGCAGAAATACCAAACTGAAGTGAAGAGTGTTGGATTAACTGTTGTTACTGTCCTTTAACCATATCATAGTTGCTGCTGTGAATTAGTTATTTCTAACAAGCCATTCTGAAGGGTAGGTAAGTATGAATTTGTGGAATAGTGAAATAAAAGAAATAAAGCGTAACTAGCTCCTCTGAACATCTTCATAAAC